GGTGGCTGCCGACCTCCTACCTGTGGCCGTGGCAGTGAGCGTCTCTTTGTAGTCCAGGGCCACCGAGGTGGTGAAGGACGTGATGGTGGACGTGTCCAGCCCTGCGGTGACACAGAGGGACAGAGGTGACACGTGGGGGAAGCTGCAAAGCTGTGAAGATGCTGACCCTGGGAGGCAGACCCAGGGCGGTCTGGGTGCTCCAGGGCGATGGGGATGGAGATGGACCGTGTCCATCTGCACGTCCCTGCTGCCCATGTGCTGGAGGTGGTGCTTCTCCACCCCAACCCAAGAGGTCCCACCTGCAGCGCCGAGGGGTCCCTTGCTTTTCCACGTACCCAGGAGGTTTATCACGCAGGGTTCGTTAGCTTTAAAGCTTCGTTTTTCCCCCTGCTCCACCAAGCAAGGGCTGTACATGGTGGTGCTGTCGGGTCCGTGTCCAGGCGAGGTGCCAGAGGGGACGGGGACGTTTAGGGAGGAAAGGACCAACCTGAGAAAATTGTCCCTTTTCTCCCGCATCAGCCTCTTTGTTTGTTAATAGTGGGAAAGGGAAAGCGCCAGCACTTAGTGCTCCCGTCATTAGCCGTGATAATGAGGGAATTCAGGGGGATTATTAACATTATAAATGGTAATCAGCGGAGAACGGCAGAAATACATCATTTAGGGAGGGGAAGGGGAGGCAGGCTGGGCCTGGGATCGGGCCCCGCCCCAGCCGCTCGCTCCTTCCGGACATGGGCAGCTTGTTTTCCAGCCGGCAGAGCAGGGAAATGGCAGGCAGGCAGATGCATTTTCCTGGCAAATTGCTGCTCTGGCCATGTCCCAGCCTCTCGGCGCAGCGTCGCAGCCTGCTCTGGAGCACCAGGGTGACGGCAGATAAAGAGAAAGGATGCTCCCACGGCGCTGAGCCCAGGTCCCTGCCTGACCTCGGGCACGGCAGCATCCCGCTGAGGCCGTTTCTCCTTGGGGATCAGGATGTCCCTGGACGTTCCCTGCCCTGGGGGACAGCCCTGAAGGCGATGCTCTGTGCCGGTACCTGTGCAGATGACCCCGGCATCCTCGTGGTGGCCGCAGTTATGGATTAGCCGAGGCTGTAGCAGGCGGAGAGGAAGGGCTCGCTGCCATCGCAGTTGACGTTGTCGAGGAGGATGTGCCCCGTGCCGTAGCCGAAATAGGCGTTGCTCTTGTAATCCAGGGCTTGGCCGCAGCCCACCTGCTTGCACACCACGCTGGCGTCGCTCAGGCCCCAGTCGTCGTCACAGACGGTGCCCCAGTTCCCGCGGTAGAAGATCTCCACTCGCCCTCGGCAGGTGTCGGTGCCGCTCACCAGACGGATGCTGCCGTCACCTGGAGGGTGGCACCACGCCGTGAGAAGGACGCTGCTTTCCCCAGGAGGTGACGGCACACGCCATGGCACAGCGATGCCACCCGGCCTGGATCCAGCAGTGCCCACGGTGGCAAAGAAATGGGGCGAGAAACCGCAGGGGAAGGGGCGATGCTTTGGGGCAGCGTGGCTGAGGGGAGCCTCGGTGACCGCTGGGATAGGGTTTGGCCATGGCGGACACAACAACGGGGTCCCCGGGGGTCTGCCACTCGGAGCCGGAGAGTCGGGGTGGTTCCCGGAAGGGAAGGGGAACGCTGCTTTTTACCAGCCCTCAGCCTGGACAGGCCCCCTGCAAGCGACGGCCGAGCAGCTTACTTTCCCCATCCTGTACGGAGGCTGTGAGGGTCCTGCTTGTCGGTCCTTCGCTGGCTTGCGTAGGCGAGAGCTCTGAAAAGGGAAGCAGAGAGGTGGCATCCATTTCTGCCCGCGGCAAGCCGGCCGCCGTGAGCCGTGCCTCTGCGCGCTGCCTGCCCCGCTGCTCCCGCAGCTTGTTGTTTCAAGCTACCATACTGCCCATCTCATCTCAGTTCCTCAGCTGGGCTGGTGAAATTTTCGGGGGTGGTGTGAGGAGCTGGAGGGGAGCGGAGCTGAGCGGTCCGATAGCCAGCCACACGCGTGCCCAAGGGCTGTGGGAAGCATCCCGGGAAAGCCAGCCCACCGACACGGCGAAGAGCTGGCTGGCTCCACGATTTCCTCCATAACCACAACCTACAGAAGATGCTCTTGAAAGCTTCCACGCAGCACAGGTGGGAGCACCCACCCTAGGGGGCTGGGTCAAACTCCTGCATCTCCTCTGAGGGCCACCCCAGAGCATCTCCTGGTCTCCTTCACCAAGCAAGCTACAAACACCTAAGGGCTCAAGCTGCTCCTCTGCCCTCAGACCCATCTCCCCAACCTCCTTCTTCAGTCCTTCCACCTCTCCTCTCCAGCGGCACCTCGATTTGGGGTTCCTGCTCAATCCACAACTTCCTTTCTCTGGTTGCTGCTGGTCAAACCCACCAGCCAACCCAGCATCCCCCCCTTTCCAAGCTCCACTTCTGTGGGACGTAGGGATTCACCGAGTATTCGCAGCCGTGGCCGAGCTCCGGGTCTGCACAACCTCACGTTTACAGGTCGCCGATGCATGGCTGATGAGCAAACCCTACGTAGCCGTGCAGGAGGAACGTGTAGGGTACATAGGGGTTGACACAGAACCGTTCCACTTTCACATGCCAAATTCAACCGCTTTCCACCACTTTTCTCACCTTTAGGAACATTTCCTACTGAAAAGCTCAGCAATTTAAAGAAAGGCAAGTCAAAAGGGGAAGGAGCAGTTGGGCAGCGGCTGGCTCAGAGGCGGGAGCGTGGGTGGGCATGTGCTCTTTCCCCAGGGATCGTGCTGCAGAGGTTGCAAAGTCCCTGAACTGGGAGTGACGGGGAACATAAAACAGGCCGGTCACCCTATGGAGCACCGACATGCTGAGCTGGGAGATGACCTGGATTGAGGAAAGGGGTGGAGGCAGGAGGCAGAGGAGGTTTGGCTGGCCCAGGCTCAGAGGAACAGGCTCTGAGATATGACTCGTGGGCTCCCCCAAGGCGTTTGCAGACACCAAGGCTTGTGGCACCGCAGGCACCCCCCAGCTCTCCTTGCCCCCGAGGAACCCAGCCTCATTACCGTTGCACACGTGCCTCATTCCCGTTGCACACGCCAGCCACGTCCTCGTAGTGGTAGCAGTTGTGGATGCCCCAGCCGTGGCTCCAGCACTCGCTCAAGGCTGCCTCCCGGCCCTTGCAGTCCACGTTGTCCAGGAAGATGGGTCCGCTCCCTTGGCCGAAGGTCATGGCGGCCGGGAGGGTGATGGCGTGGCCGCAGCCCAGCTGGCGACACACCACGTTGGCATCCACAATGTCCCAGTCATCATCGCAGACTGTCCCCCAGGAGCCGTTGTAGAGGATCTCCACGCGCCCCTGGCACCTTGGGCCCATTGGCAAGCCGTATCTCTGGAAGGACGGACAGAGAGAGGTCCCTCAGCAGGCAACAAGCCCGCCCCAGGGCCAAGGAGGTGACAAGGTGAGTGTCACGGGGAGGGTGGGAGCCTTCTCTGCACCAAATCTCTGCTCCTCAAAGAAAATGATGACCCTTCGCTGTAGCATGAGGCAGCTGTTGGCTTGCTGCTGCCCACCTGATGGTGGGGCACGGGCTTCTCTTCATCTGCCGGAAGCAGCGGACATGAAGACTCCGCACATCTCAGTACAGAAATGAGATGCGCCATCACCCCATCATCTTGCCCACTAACGGCCTGGGCAATAACCCAATGGCAGAAGAGGAAAGCGGACACGTGGCATCACGGGATGACATATGATGGGTGACAAGTGACGAGATGCAATTAGCAAATTCTTATTAGCCTCAACGAATGCGTCCGGAGCTGGTCCCACGTGGGAGTTGGTGGGATGGAGATGATCTCTCAAGCTGCTGGTGATGGGGAGCAGGCGTGTAAGCTCCCCTGGCCTGCCGCGTCAAGGGAATTACTTGCTCGGGCGTGAGGAATGGCACAGGGACAGGGCGTCAGCAGGAGGTGGCAAAATTCCCCTCTCGGGATAACAAGCAGAACAGGGATACTAAAGAATCTCTATTTCCTTTCTGTAAAAGAAGTTTAGCTTTTTGTTGCTGCTTTTTGTTCCAAACCAATGTGCTTCCTTTTCGAAAATCCCCAAACCCCCTTTGTAACAACAACCAAAAAAAGCATTTTGCAACTACAAAACTATCTAGAGAAAAGCGACTTTAAGAGAAGAATCTCACCTGGGAATGGCGACAGCGCAGGCTCAGAGGTGGTGCCTGCGAGGGAGAAGAAAAGGGATCAGATCTCCCCAGCGTCCTCGCAGCGAGCAGAGGAGGGATGCAGCTCAGAGGACGACGGCAGCGGGGATGCGGGCGGGCATGGCGGGGACCAGCAGGACCCGGCAGCCCCTCGGACCCTTCCCTTTTCTGCAAAGACCTGAGGTTTGTAGGGGAAAAAATAAACAGCCTAGCCCAGGGCATCCTTTCAGCTGCTTCGCAGGTGGGGAAACTGAGGCAGCAGCATGTGGTGCGAGTGACCGCGGCTCTGCGGTGGGACTGTGCCGTGAGCACCGGGTTACGCGCGCGTGTCCCCCGGCCCCGAGCCCTGGTTCACCCGGGTC